CTTGGCTGCCTGTGCAGCTGCCATTGGTCCACAGGGGCCTTTGGCATCCTCTTCCCTTCAGCACCGCCCATCCCATGCCATCCAGTGTGCTAGCAGTAATTTAAGGGCCCAGGGCTCTTTTACATCACTCTGACCTGGGGCAGCTGCCCTTCCCCTCTCCTCCGGCCTTTTGTGAGCCCTGGTTAGACACTAATTCCATTTCTAAATACTATGACTTAGCTGTAATATAGCTCATGTGATTAAACACATTGGCTGCGTCTAGACTGGCAAGTTTTTCCGCAAGAACACTGACGATCTAATGTAAGATTGTCAGTGTTCTTCCGCAAATACTATGCTGCTCCCGCTTGGGCAAAAGCCCTTTTCCGGAAATGCTTTTGCGCAAGAGGGCCAGTGTAGACAGCTAAAAACTGTTTTGCGCAAAAAAGCCCCGATGGCGAAAACCGCGTCTAGATTGGCACGGGTGCTTTTGCGGAAAAGCATGCCAGTCTAGATGTAGCCATCGTTTTTCACTGGTCATTTTCGCATCGCATCTTCGCCTTGGTGCAGTAGAAATTGGACTGCAACTATGAAACTAATATAATTCCCTCTAAATTCTTAACAGCCCTCATAATGGAACCTGGTCAATTGACTCTGTCTTGATTATATCAGTTTACTTTGAGGAGAAGAAATAAATGGGGAATGAGGCTGATATGAAATGCTTCTGAAGCTGTGAGTGATTAAAGGTTGGTAGGGTTTTTTTTTAAGTTATGCTAAAATATTGAAATTAAGTCTGAAATAAATCTAAGGTATTTAAAGAATGATAGCTGCCATTTTCAATTACCAAACCTTTGTGATGTTCTAGCTAAGGCTATGTGTACAGTTCCAATAGAAAGCAAAATTTTCATAGGGCTCTAAATCTGCTTGTCCAGGCTTAAAGGTTATACAAAGCTTCGAGGCAGGATATATCTGTTTGGTTTTGTCTCTCTACACATATACCAAAAATTCCTCCATCATGTCACTCTGCATCCCTCAGCTGCTAGCCTGCTCCCTCACCCTTTCCTCCTCATTGTTGCTCTGGAGGGGTGAGAGCTGCACAGCCTCCTCCTCCTCCCCCTTCCCTGGTGCTCAGGGATGGGTAGGTGGGAGATATGCATCCTCCAGGGTGATAGGAGCCATGAGGTCTCCCCCTCCCCACACCCCCAACCCCCTCCCACCCACCCTTGGCCAA